AAAGTATAATTACGGCTTTTCTTCCACTATTTTTAACTCAGTTTGAAACTTCAAATGCGATATAATTTTGGCTTGGACCATCTAAGCTGACTGACATCAACTTGCTATAATTTCAGTTTACATTACATCGCAATTCGATGACACTCTGGCTCAGACACCAGAATGTTTGACGATTTTTAGCATTCGTTTAGGATTTTCAAACAACCTGGTCTCTTTTAAAATACTTTTAATTTGTTCTTACGTGGTTTTCCAGATGTAGTGACGACAACATTAAAGTTTAAAGAAGAAAATTCTAACATTTAAACCGACTAAACAATAACATAGTAAACTTGCATAATTAAACGGCAACTAAAAATGATAGGTTTTACTAAATCTTTTCCTGTGCAATTATTACTAGCATTGGAGACAAGGATAAGAGTTTGTTTGAAAGAGAAAAGAACAGGCTTTGAAGTAAGCCTAAAAGCGTTTAACTAGAAATAGTATTTCGAAAGTTATTAAGCACAAAAGATGAATTGCGTTTATTTTGATACACCCTGTATAGACTAAATTTTGATCAAGGCAAGAAGAACGAAATCCAACACCACAACTAGAAAGAGCGTCTTAGAATTAGTAAAACTGCAAAGTGCTGCATGTGGTTTGAACTACCTAATAAAGACTAGATCAAGAAGCACTTTGACATTTTAAGCAAAAACCCTTCCTTAGCTGTTCCTTTCTGATGAAGCCTTCACTTCAAACGTTTTTATTAAAAAAGTAGTTCAGATTTTGATTACCTCTATTCCTACTGCTACCATTAACCAATTAGATGCGTTTAATTTAACCAATTAACCAATCAAATACGTATTAGGCTTGCGAGAGGCAGCGGTAATGGAAGTCAAATCTGAACCTCCAATCACTCATGCAGGTATAGCTAGTTCAGACTATAAGATATCTATGGTTCAGACATGAACCAATGGCATCCTTCACGAAATGACAATACTGCAGCAAGATTATCGGAAGAATACCCTTGGCGAAATCCCCACATTTCCAAGGTAATCTAAGGGCATGCTATCTTTCAAGCCATTGAACGTAGCAACCGTTGTTTTGAGTTAAACTTAGTACATCTTACAAGTCTTTCATTCTTTCGGTAATCATTAATTGTTACTTTCATTTCATCACGTTACCAACGTGGGAACATTTAAGTCAATAATAAAGAAGAAATTATTTCATCTTCTGAAATCTTATTGGTGTTCCTCTCAAAATTACTTAACAACCTTTTTAAAATTTATCTGGTGGTCGAGAAATACAAAATAATAGTTAAGTAGGCCTATTGTCAATTTAAAACAGTAGCGATTGATGCACCGGGTGGAAAGCGTAATTTAAAAATGCAAATTAGAGCCCAGCAAATGACTTTCAGACAAGACATAACCGAAAAATATATTGGCTAACGTTTCGTTGTATTGTTCACAACATCTTCAGAGCAATTAAACTTATTTACAAGCGTGTATATTTTAAATTGTCAATTTAAATACAATTATCATTGATGCTGTAAAATTGACGCCATATTTATACAGCCATATATAGCAAAACTTACTGAACTTCGGACATAATTTTCTCTTTGGCGTACCATCTCTTCATTTTAGCATAATTTTACAGATCAAGCACTAAACATATTTTTAAAGTTTGTTTGTCGCTTGAGAAACGCATAAAAATTTTAAAAAATGAATGTTTGAGCGCGTGTTATGCGTACCAAAATTTATATTAATAGTTTGTTCTTTCAATCGTAATTACCATATCATTTTCAATAACACAGGATGAATACAAGATCCCATCTTGTAACTGTAAGTCCCCTTTGTTCCTTTCAAAGCCATCTCTTTGTCTGTCTTAAGGTCATATTGAGCATAATTGTCTTTGAAATATTTCCTTTTATGCAAGCCGTAAACGTCAAAATTTCAAGCTAAGGCCTAAAGTACATGAGAAGCAAATTAAATCTACGTCTAATTAAGCCTGATTTATACACTATTAAAGTTTCTGTGATCACAGTAGGAATCTTGCAAAGGTAAATTCTAAGTTTTGAAGGATTTGTAAGAAATGTTTGAGGGACCGACTCATTGTTAATGACGTGACACACTTATACCAATATTCAATTGAAACTTATATGCATGAACTGCAAGAAACTACATGAAAGAGCTCTCACGTACATGCAAATGACATGAAGACCGCATAATAATTACTATAATAATTATGATACTAATGTTAATAAGACTGGCAATCTATTGGCAGTTCTTTAAATCTTTCTTAAGAATATTCAAAGGGCAAGGATCGTAACAGGCTTTCGACTGTATAATAATAAATTTTACATTTATATATAGCGCCGTTCCTAAGAAGTTCAATAGCGTTTTACCATGAAGAATAGAATAATAAAAATGATGTACAGCTCATGTTACAAGTTTAAAAATTATGTATAAAATTGCCAGCTTAAATTACATTAGATATACTTCAGTGTTAGAAATTATGTTAAAATTATAGTATAGTGCAGTCTATATTGCAAGTTTAAAAATTATGTATAAAACTACCAGCTTAAATTGCATTAGGTATTAGATATACTTCAGCATTAGAAATTATATTAAAATTATAGTATTAGAAAATCTATCACAGTATTAAAACCACAGTACTAAAAGAGTCAAAACTAAGCGAAAGCTTCAATAAAAAAAAACACGTATTGAGATGGTCTTTTTTAAATTGATGTTGATAGGTAACCATAATTTAATAGATTTGTTCTTTCAAACATAATTAACATATCATTTTGAACAACACAGGATAGATATAAAGTCCCATCTTGTAATTTCTAAGTTCTCTTTGTCCTTCTCAAAGCCATCTCTTTGTCCCTCTCTGCCGTACTTGAATCTATAATTGTCTTTGAGTCTTTTACTCTACCCATAAATGTCAAAATTTCAAGCTAAGACTTAAAGTACTAAAAGGTCTCTTGGTTCTACTTGCTGGGCCCAACCTTAGTATAAATAGAGGGTTGGGTATCAGAGTTGAGTATGTGGTTATTGATATCTGCCAATTGCAGTAACTCGAGGTTTAGCAAGGGCAATAAGTTAAACGAGGTTTCAAGATGGCGAAACTTTACATGGCATTGTTTCTCTTTGGAGTAATACTCGCATTAACAACAGGTATATAATGTGTTCTAACTTTAAATCGTTTTTGAAGTTTCTCTATATGGCGTTATGTTTCTATTTATTTTGCTGTGAGCTTTCTTATGACGGAGGCGAGGTTGTTACACAGGTTTCAACGTATGACATCTCAATTCACGACTCGGTTGGTTGCAGATGTATGCATTTATGAAAGACATTCTTTGATATTTTTACTGAGCTAGTTTCTTCGCGGTACAGGGCATGGTTATATTCAACTGGATTAATAATAAGAGATGATTCTTGTTGGATCTCTACGAAGAACAGTTTAAAACTGTTAGAGCTATCCAGTATAAATAGAGTTGGTTTAGTTTAGGTTTCCTCCTGTAGTAACACTGGATCAATAAGAGATGATCGTTACTGGACCTCTACGAAGAACAGTTTAGAACTGTTAGAGCTATCCAGTATAAATAAAGTTAGTTTTGTTCAGGTTTGCTCCTGTAGTAACACCAGTGAACTATGTATAGTTCAGTGAGTAACACTGCATGGATCAATAAGAGATGATTATCATGATTCTTATACTGGACCTCTGGAAAGAACAGTTTAGAAATCATAAATCTATCCAGTATAAATAACGTTATAGTTGCCATGCGTATATTTCACCTAGCCCAATTTCTTCTTAACACAATTTTTCGCCACCATTTCAGTTCAATCAAAAACTATATTAAACGACCACGGTGAAATAATTGGAGAAACTGCAGAAGAGGACCAGGAATCACAAGCAACAGACGCAGTAAATGAAGATTTAGATGAGGAGAAACGAACGTACAAACCACCTGTTTATTATCGACCACGATTTAGTAAGTACTACACGACTTTCCATTCTATTTTCTCGTATTTCAATTCCGACATGATGTCGCTTGTAATGTGTCGAAAAGTTACTCAATATAGATTTTTGGTTTATATTCATATCAATGTTTGAATATGCCCCTTTGAAAAATTATTTGCTGGGCAAAAATATATTTAACTAAAGTTCGTCTGGTGTTAGGCAAATAGCTTAATTAGTTTATTCTTCAATACAATTAATGTGTCAATTTCACTACATGAGAGTGTTGTTTTTTACTCGATTGTAAAGCATAATATTTTCTCACGCTTTTTAAGACAAACTCCCCCACCATCCCTTCCCTCCCCCACATAAACACGTTAAAATGTACAAACACGCACCCTCTATACAACTCAACTACCGTATGAGTTTCACGATCAAACAAACACTTCAGCCAACAGTTTAACTGAAAAATGTAACGAAAAACCCTTCCATGCGATGGTAAATTGAAGTAGAAATTTTAAGACCAAGTACATGCAAAATGTAAATATACAGAGCGAGTCGCAATTATTAGTTAATGGAAGCCAATTTACGCCTACAGTTCAAGCCATTATAGTTAGCAAAAGAGCTCTTGGGAACAACTCTTTAAAGCTGTTACCGCTTCTCCTCAATATCAAAACCAAAGAAACGTTTCTGAAAGAACATTAGATACTCGAGTTTTCGACCTTTTTCAAAAGTTGGATCCGGTTTCCACACCCGTACCGTAGCTTTGCATTTGCGCTAATAATATTAGTAATTATGAAGATCAGCTTTGCAGTATAAATACGCGTATTTTTCACAAGCCAATGCAAGAGTTTTATCGCCATGCAAGCTTTCAAACTCAAAGAACTTACTAAATGTATTCTGGCCAAGATTGTTATTTTCCATCGCGTCACAGAGAGGTCCTTTTATAGAGAAATGGTTCCGCATGCTTTGCGCAAAGTCATTTGTCTCCCATGGAAACATATCAAAGATTTTATATTTCTCGTTGAACTGCGCGCGAGAATTTCTATACCACTAGACTGACTTGTTGTTGAGGTCTGTCGACATTTACAAGGAAGAATATTTAAAACAAAAATATCTCTCCCTCCAACGTTGATGATCGTAATGTAAATGTGATTAATGGATTGTGAAATGTAATATTGGACGGGGGGGGGGGGAGGGTACTGGACTATCTGTACTATATATGAGTGTTGGCAATGTGAAACGATGTTTCAATGACGATTTGTAACGCAAATGATGTCACATAAAATATGATTGGTGGTTCCGTGATGCGTTGAGCCTAGTTTACACTATCAATAAAGTTTCTGTGATCACAGTTGGAATTTTGCATAGCTAAATTCTAAGTTTTGAAGGATTTTTAAAAAATGTTTGAGGAAACAGACTTAACGTTAAACACTGATTCAGTTTCCTCAAACATTTCTTACAAATCCTTCAAAACTAGAATTTACCCATGCAAAATTCCTACTGTGATCACAGAAACTTTGATAGTCTAAACCCGACTTAAGGTAATTCCGCAGTTATGCATTGCGCACTTCTATTGCGCACATCTTATAACTTATAATTTCATCCATTATACTTACCGTTTAAAACAATATGACAATTTTATGTTGCTTCAAAACATCTTTGGTTACATTCGTGCAAAGAATTACGTTAAAATCAATCCTTTCAAAAAAGGCATACAAAAGTGTAGCTAGGGTTCGCTGTGTCGTTTTAATGCCACAATTCCCTAAAAAGATCGGTGACCCCCGTTTTTTAACTGATAATTTATTTCTTTAATGCATTTTACATTTCATATCCGAAATTAAAAGAAAACTCATTTCTGGATCTTGAAAAAAAATCCTATATCAATGCATGTTCTCAAAGAAAGTTCTTAACGAGTTCGGTGACCCCGACTTTTTATGCCTGGGAAGTTTCAGCACATTCTCATGTCGGGAACAATTACTGCGGAATTACCTTAACGAATCGTTGTTGAAACAGACCACCAATTTTTAATTCTGTTTTTTTTTCTCATCAGGCTGTGGTAATGTCCCCTACTCTCCAAGAAGGGAGGTGTGTTGTTGCGGCAAGAAGTATACAAGAAAATACAGCAGCTACGGACCTTACAGACGCTTGCAGTGGAAATGTTGTGGCTATCAATTAATGGATGGATATCTCAGTAAATGTTGTCCATACGCGACTGTTATCTCGAAGAAATATAAATGTCCCAAATCTAAACTATGAACAAGCTTAGCTCCTAAAGCCAAAAACTTGACTTGGTCGGAGACCATGTGATATTGTTGATAAAGTAGTGAACTAGATTATATTGCAAACGATTACAGATAGGTCAGAGGCAAAAATGCGATCTGTGGGTTCCAGTGTGGGTGGAAAGGATTCAAAATGCGAGCACTGCAGAAGATTCAACTACACACGTAAAACGCACAGTTTGTAACAACTCTGCAAACAAATTGTTACAACTCTGTTCAGAAGCTGTCGACAAGTTGTCTTCACACTGCTTGTTCCAAGCTTGATGGCATTATCAGACTTGTTTCAAGACTATGCAAACAAGTTTGTTACAGCCATGATATAACAAGGATGTTACCAGTTTGTCGACACAAGGTTGTAACAGTCTTGTTATATCAAGCATGTAACGGACTTGTTAGAACAACTTTGCAACAAGTCTGATAATTTCGACAAGGTTGTTACAAGTTGTCAACAAGGTTGTTCCAAACCTAATGACAACTTGTGACAAGCAATGTGAATACATCTTGTTGACGGCTTGTTGGCAGACTTGTTACAAGATGTGAGATTTTTGCGTGTGTAGTTGTTCACTGCTAAGCTTAGAGCTTGGTTTACATTCGTAGCTGTCGTGAGCAAGTCATGTTCGTCGATGTGAAACAGTGTAGATCAATCTTGTCTTTTTGTGTGCTGTATGCAAATCAATCTTTACTGATTTCATAAATATTGACATTCTGTTGCATTGGTAACTTTGATGTGTTTACGACAGTTACAACTAAATGGAAACCAGTAATAAGTAGTGGATGTTAAATGGACAAATGGTATATGTATAAAATTAAATTAAAGAATAAAATTTTACAGGAGTCATGTAATATTTTTATCTAGACAACCACTAATCATTTTGCACTCAAAACTATACTTTGTCTGCCCTTCAAAATATCAAGATCACTCAAAACATCTACCAATCAATATTTGGTCAGCGACGAATACTTTTATATGGTTAATCCCTGTTGAGACATTCTTTAAATGGGCTTTTTTATCGTGGGTCTTTTTACCGGCTTGCTCACCCCTTGTATATAACTGTTTGGAGACCCACGCTATATAACGGGCTGAGATATTTGCAGGCTAAATTGTTTTGAATTAACGCTCCGCCAGTTTCGTCGATCTTCTGATCTATACCTCTAATTGTAATTAGTGCATCCAAGCCAAACACTGCTCGTCTACTTTGGTGTATTAAATCGCGAGTTTTTATATGTAGTTTTTATCCGAAATGTTTACATCAGTGTCGTGAAATAGTCAACTTCGCTCTTCAAAGCATTCTAGCCGAGATTCTAGCTACATGGGGTCGAACACTCCAACGATTTTTCACAAAAGCGTGTATGACTGGAATTTTTGTTACCAAGGAACTTTGCTATATCTAGAATAAATTTCCAGCGCAGCCGGGCTGACGTTGAAAAATGGCTTACGTTTTAAACTCTGATCCAAACGACAAACTCGAAGAAGATATGCCATGTACTGTATGTTTGGGGACATTAAGAGAACCAACAACACTTCCTTGCCTTCATTCATTTTGTAAAGTTTGTCTCGGAAGCGTTGTTGAAAAACGTCGCAAAGAAGCACCGCTTGATCGACCTATTCGAGAATTCAACTGTCCAAATTGTCGTTCTGAGTTTACTTTAGAACCTGACGAAACGGTCGCAAATATGCAACCAAAACAACAGATTAGTAACAAGGTTAATAAAGCGACGGCCGTACTGGATGGTGAAACAGGCATTCCCTGCTCGCATAATTGTAGTCAAAGTTACTCGGTCGCTCGTTGTGTCACCTGTGAAAAAGATTTGTGCCAAGAATGTCTGACAGCCCACAACAATTATCTAGGCCATAGCAACCATTCTGTTTTATCGATGCCAACGATGGAGGGGTTGTCGAAACACGAAAATCACTTGAAGACAAAGCGAAAGATGTTTTGTAAAGAGCTCGGTCATGAAGACAAGGCTTTGAAGTTTTATTGCGAGACTTGCGACAAGCTTATCTGCAGATATTGCATGGAATTCGGACATGACAAGCAAGGTCACACCTGTCGTATCGCGAAAGAGGTTGCACACAAAAACAGAGTGTTACTAGCTGCATCTAACGAGAATTTGAAGAACCTGTTAGAAGAGGGCGAAGCATTTTTAAAACAGCTTTCGTTTGTTACAGAAAGAGTTGACATGCACGCACAAGATGCGAAGTCTGAATTTGGGGCGAGAAAAGAAACCACCCTGAAACTAATCCACGACGGCTTCGAAAGAAAGTGTAAAGAATTGAATGATAAAGTCGATGAAATCCAAGGAGAAAAACTCCAGAAGTTAAAGCAACATGAAGATAAAACCAAAGCTTATGTCACGAGTATTCAGCAATGTGCTCAGACTTATATCAAACTTCTCGACGAAGGCACAGACGAAGAAATCATTTCTTTACGAAAGACCATACACGACAGCGAAGAAAAGCTCGTGGCACAACGTTCGAATCATTTCAAAGTCCCAGTAACAGATCTGAATGCCCACTATAGCAATTTCAACGTAAACGAAATTCATATAGCCGATATACTAGAACAAGCCATGGCCATTATGGGTCAAATCGAAGAGGGTAAGTTGTTTTACGTATTGGATACTTACGTGTTGTATTACGTAATCAGTTTTACGTGTTTACCTCCCACTTGCTCTAGAAAATATTGGAAATTCTGATGTTAACGTTTGCCTTTGAGTAGGCTGCGGAACAGAATCACTCATGATGCACTATGACCATGTAATGTATTTTGATTTAACTAATTCAATTTAATTTTGTATTTTTTAAATGTCCCTAACCGCAAATGTGATCTTTGGTATGTGCAATGTTCGAGTCATTTTAAAAACAAAATGCCTTTATAGTAAAATATATATATATATATCTTATGTATAATATATCTTTATAGTAAAAAGCCTCATCTTGATCAACTTTTTCACTGTCAGTTTTCGGATGTCAGGTAGTTGAATTGCAAATTAGTTTTCCTTCGTTTTTTACTGCTAAAATTCACCTAATGACATCATATCCGGAAACTTTGACAGTGAAAAAGTTGATCAAAATGAGGCTTTAATTTATTACTTTACTTATAAAATGGTAATTTTGGAAATGGGCACTTTCCTGGAATGAATAGGATTTTATTGGGCGAAACGTTTGGGCATGCCTAATACAGCTTTTAACTTTTCATAGAAACAAGTGACCAAGAATTGGAAACTGACAAGATTGAATTAGAAACCGTCGATCGCAACGGGGTAAGGAATACCAATAATTTTCCGTTCAAATTCTTATACCATTAATGAACTATTTCACGTTGTCACATTCCTGTTTGTAGTAAGAGATAGTTATTGAATGTTATAAAATTTATAGTTGAAGGGACTTGTAGATGGAGATTTGGAGTAGAATTTTTATATATTTATTAGACCCAACCATGCAGGAGCAGTTTCACATAATAATATATTCAAATTCAGATTCGCATATTATCCAAACTCGCATTGAACTAAAGTCAGCAAATTTATCAAAACATAAACAACTTGTACACTCTTTAAATATTTTAAAGATATAATTCTGTTAAATATACTCGTGATTTTAGTCATATAAGATTGTCAACTCGGGTAAAGCCATCGTCCGAGTATTGGTAAGCGCCTCAAAAAATGTTTCATAATTTAAAAGTCCGAAACTTCTTAAAATTTTATGACAGTAGCAACGATTATTGTTGTGGTAAAATTTTCAGTCTATAACCTTTCTTCAGCTAAAAAATTGGATGATTCGGCAGTATGATTTCGCATAATCAATCTTCTGAAATGTACCGTCTGATCGAATAATGCAACTATAATCCCTCTGGCATTTTTGCAACACCTCTTGCTCAGGTCTATAATAAGAATTGGCGAGCAGAAATTTCCATTCACGAATCATTTCGAATGAAATGCTTGACATAAAATTTATAGTATGTTTAAATTCTAAATCGAATTAATATTCCATAGTATAAGTGTTTAGCTGAAGAAAAATATTTGCCAGATGTGTATGAACTGTTTTCAATTGAAGATTTTGCTTATAGGTGCAGAAAGATCAACCCAGTTCAAACAGCAACAAAGGTCTGCGTGCCTATTATAAACATTCCAAATTGATTGTTTACGAAGGGGATATAACCAGAGAAGCGGTGGATGCGATCGTAATGCCAATAACCAGGCAGCGTTATGAGAATATTAAGGATAGTATGCCAGTTAGTTTTGGAGATGTTGTCGTCAGGCTTGAAGATGACCTGCCTTGTAAGATGGTTTTGTACGTAATTGGCTTTCAGAAAGACGAACTGCAAGAACAACAAAGTCAAAGTTATGTTTCGTTGCCGTTGATGCGCAAAATAATTTTCAACAGTTTAGTATTAGCAACCAAACACAATGCCAAAATAATCTCCATGTCAGCTACAGGTCTTCAGTTAAATGAGGAGTGTGCTGAAACTACCTTCGATATTGTTGAAGAGTTTCTGGAAGGGTCAAATAAATCAGTACAGGAGATTCGCTTCATCAACGGAGATAAGCAAACTTTGTTATTTTCGAATGAATTGTCGAGACGATACCAAGCCTTTTAAATGCGCATATCGGACCTTTTGCATGAACAAGATAATCAACTCTCTAATACAACGGATTCAGGCAATTTGGATACAAGGCATACGGAAAGCAAAGTCAAATAGGGGACTTAACATGTGGTTTGAACAGATGCGGCGGCTCCGGCTACACTTTTCATCATTGGGGGACTGGTACCTGACCAGTTCTCAATAAAATGTTAAAATATATGCAAAATAAAACAAACTTTTCAGTATAAACAGTGCTCTCACTTTTAAGGAATTATCCTTAAAAATAGGAATTTTGAAGAGTTTTAAGGATTTTTTTAAGGAATTTAGGTTTTTGAGGATTTTTTTAAGGAATTTCTGAAACATTTTATCCTGGACTAAAAACGCTGGATGGAGGATAACCACGCCACGCAAATGAGATTTAAACTTGAAAGTAGCAACATTATACGCACATAACTAGTTTCATATTAATCTGACACTGCAATCGAGCAACGAAAAATTCGTTGGCTCGAGCGGGATTTGAACTCGCATCTTCGGGTATCTAGACCGCCGCTCTACCTATTGAGCTATCGAGTCAACACATATAATTACATATATTCGTATATTCTCTATGTCATAAATGTACATATGGCTGTCTTTTCCAGTGGCGGGCATAGGGGGGCCTGAGCCACCCCAATAATTTTGAAAGACTGTTAAAGATGCGGTACAGTCCGTATGTAAACAAAGGCTTTGTTTACATTTCGGTATCCAAAAGATTGAATTTTATTCGACAACTATTTATATTTTCATGATTCTAGAGTATAATAAATTAAGAAAAGACAACAATCAAGCTTTGCAAGAACATAAAACGAAATAAAAACCTAAATAAACTGTTTGTAAATAAAAAGAAGGCTCCTTTGTGCACATGCGCAGATCGGACTGTACCGCATCTTTAAAATCTTGTACCAAATAACACAAATCACACTCATATAACGTAATTGTCATCATAATATAATAGTATATGTTTCTGTACATGGCTTGGCATGTGATTTATAACAAAACGCACCATTAAAACAGTGTTTTGAAACCCTAGTTTTTTACAAAATGTGTTCTCAGAACGCTGCAAATGCCATTTCCGGGATTCAAATTTTAAATTTTTTCCGTGCCTTCGGCACGAGTCCCCCCCCCCCAATATTTCGTAAAGTGTCCGCCACTGGTCTTTTCATTAAAATTCTCAAAAGTTAAATGTCAGTATATGCTGTTCTGAAATCTACAGATTTTTTAAGCTCTTCATGCAGCAACGATCAAAAATACATCATGTTGAATGTTTTCTTTATGGCATTATGCTAACAATCAAATGTTTTCAATTTTTAGTGCTTAGAAACAAGGTTATAAAAACTGAAAAACAGAAAAAAGGAGGAAAAAACACTTTTTGCAACTGTGTGATCAGGCCTTGTGGTAAAAATACCAATTTAAGGAATTTTAAGGAAATCTGAGGAATTTTCGAGCTTTTTCTGAGGAATTCGAAAATTTGATTGTGAGAGCACTGCTAGGGAATGCTAAGGAAGGCCAAGGAAGGCTAGGGAAGGCTAAGGAAGGCTAGGGAAGGCTGAGGAAGGCTAGGGAAGGCTAAGGAAGGCTAGGGAAGGCTAGGGGACGCTAAGGAAGGCCAAGGAAGGCTAGGGAAGGTCAAGGAAGGCTAGGGAATGCTAGGGAAGGCCAAGGAAGGCTAGGGAAAGCTAGGGAAGGCTAAGGAAGGCCAAGGAAGGCCAGGGAAGGCCAAGGAAGGCTAGCGAAGGTCAAGGAAGCTGCTAGGGAATGCTAGGGAAGGCCAAGGAAGGCTAGGGAAGGCTGAGGAAGGCTAGGGAACGCTAAGGAAGGCCAAGGAAGGCTATGGAAGGTATTTCGGTTGTTCATACATCGAGAAAGCGTCAATTTTTAACTTGGGACAGTCATATTGACCAAATTTTAAAAAAAAATCTTCTGGAATAAGTGCCATGAAAAAGATTTAGGATTTCACCAATTCTGATACTTTGAAGTCAGTCTATTATGGTCTCGTCCAACCCCATTTCGACTACTGTTGTGAAGTTTGGAATTCCATTAATAGCTGAGGCCAGTCCGAACGACTACAAAAACTTCTCAACAGATGTGCTAGAATTAAAGATGAGCCTGGGCAATCTCCACTGGCCCTTGATCAATTAGGGTGGATTAAAGCTTGGAAGAAAGGCGAAAACATATTATGGCCCGGCTCAATATTGTTTAAGGTTGTCAATAATTTGGCACCATCGAGGTTCTCATCAA